TATATCTTTATTCTTCATCCCAGTGAGAGCATCCTGAGTGAACTTGACTGTTAGTACATGGAATTATGTGCGAAAAATTCCAGTCCGCATGCTAAGGTATTTTTCAGACCTTTAAGTACTGGCAGTAATTCAAGCATAATTACTAATAAAGGAATAATGGGTGACTTTGAGGGAACCTAGTCCATCATTTTTGAATACATGCTTTCTTCTCTGCTTTATGCAATGACTTATGCAAATCTGTTCATGAAGTTTCTGAATAGATTCTGCAAAGATTACAGGGAGATATATTATCACATGAAAATATTAGCTTGGATATCAGGAAGGTGAAAACTAATCATGACAAGGTCGTTCCTTGATTTTAGTAACTGGCATAGAAGAACATTGTTAACATTGTTGTTACATTATTTATGGGCTCTTGTTAAGGAGAGTTTCTGTTTTTAGTATATGGGGACCTGGTTTATTCAGTCTGGTATAGGATTCCTTCAGCAAGGTGACCATCACTTTCTGAAAACTGTATTTTATATGCTAGTTGTATTCTTTAACTTCTTGGACATAGCAGTAGAAAAAAGTAAGGTATACCATCCATTTTACACAAGATGTTTGATACCATGTGTTATACTGGGTGACTTCACTCTCACTTTTAAGAGCCATGTTTAACAGGACACCACCATTTTCCATAGTAATTTCTTTGGTCTTTGGACATGGTTTTCTAAAATTGATAATCTATATTGCTATGGTTTAAAAATCATAGGTGGCATCTTTTTTTTCTTTCAAAAGTTCAAGGATCATGGCTATGTTCATTACTCTCTTCAGTCCGATACATTATCTCCTATACTTTCTTCAACCTTGTTTTGTTGGATGATATTTTTATGCTGTTTACATCATAGAAGGTTTTCCTTTGTCCTTCACCTATGGTACATAGTTTTGCCAGGTATTGTATTCTAGACTGGACATCATTGTCTTTTAAGATGTTGAATGATTTGCTTTAGGCTTTTCTGGCTTTCAAATTTTGCACTTAAAATTCAGAGGGGTGTGACAGCCAACAGTTTCACCTAGGTATGATGCTTACCAAACACAAGACCAACATGACATCATAACCATAAGGATGAAGTAGGGGTACATAGACCATGGCTGGACCCAACAGTCTCTAACTGAACTTGAGACCCACTGAACAAGAGGAAGTCATGCCTGGTACTAGGAAACTAGCCAACTACACAACACTAGTAAAAACATGTGTCATGGAGGAGGACCTTCTACAATTACCATTTAACTAATTACAGAAAATCCCCAACCTAAATTCTAAATATTTGTCCTTTTACTCTCAATTATGGTCCCCACACCCTCTCAAGAAAGCTTCTCTTCATCTTTGCAAAATGAAAATCATTACAGAGAACCACAACCAAAAAAAAAATTGCAGAGTTATGGAACATGGTCCAAAGGACACAAAACAGCTCCTGCACCTAGTACTAAAGAAAATTTCAGATGCTTATAGACAGAAAATCATAGAGCTTGCTTGAAATTGTGTCACCACATAATGTCAAATATACCCATAAAGTCTCAAGAATGTAACTGCCTAAATATGAGCTGAACATAGACAACAACAATAAACGTGTCAAAGTGAATGTAGGAAACCCCATGAGACCTAAGTCTTATACAAAGAACCTTAGGAAATATAGGACTACTGAGAGTGGGAGAAATAGTCTTCCCCAGGGAAGAGAATACCAATAGGTTATCCAATACCAAATGATGCAAAACATGCATATAATAACATTATATAGATTGAGGATGTTGTATTTATGTATTTAAGAATACACACACACACACACACGAAAACTTAATGAAAAAAAAGAGGTCTTGGATTTGAAAAAGAGCAAGGAGTGACATATGGGAGGATTTAGAACAAGGGGAAAAAGGAGAAAATCATAAAAATTATAATTATAATCTAAAGAGTAAAATATTTTTTAAGACCAAGGCTCTAAACACACAGATAGATCCCATGCATCTCTCAAATAATTAAATTGTGTCCCACAAACCAAATAGGTCCTTTCACAGATTCTTTTAGTTTGTATGTTTTTTCCAGTTTTTAAAGGTTCATTTCAGTAATTAAATAAAGAGCATTCTTCTAAACATTTCCCCCAATAGCCTAACACTGTAAGTGTTACTTGTATGGCTTTTGTTACAATGATTATAATACTTTTGGAAGAAGATCTACACAGTAAGTTGTGAGTTTCCTGAAATAAGAGTTTTGCAATTTTCCTTTTCTCTTCCATTCCATAGAATACTTCTCATACACAGTAAAAACTCAACTCACTTTTAATAACATTTATTCTCTTTCGTTTTCCTCATATATATACATAGAAGTACACTCTGAACATATTTACTAACCTCTTCAAACTCTTCACAATCCACAATCTCTCCTTTACCTACCCAAGTTTCGTCCTCAATATTGTAAAACCCATAGTGTCTAAATTCACGCTGCTTGGATGCTCTTAGCTATATGGCCATCAACCATGGTTTTCCTACCAAGGGACACATACAGAGCACTGACTTTTTTCCCTCCCAGCAGCTATCAGTTGTCAATGTCTCCTTTGCTCATGTTAGAAATGTATACTCCATAACTACATGCTGAGACTTTTGTCAGGATTGATGTTATGCCGGTTTTGTCGATGCTATCACAACATTTGTGATCAAATATGTGTAGATGCCCTCCAGAGTCCAAAATACCTGTATCTTAGAGTCTTTCTGCCCATTCTTTGGCAGTGTTCTCTGAGTCTTGCAGGAGGAGGAATGGGATATAGTTACCCCATTTAGGTTTTCCTAGATTATTACTAAAGTTTCATATATTTCAAAGATGTCCATATTGAAGCATGTATTGCCTTTAATCAATGGGAATTTCTCTTGATTATATTCCTACTGCCCATATACTACATTCAGGTTTGGAAGTGTTTTATATGCAACTAATTCAACATTTTGGTTTAGCTAACATAACATGATGATTTGTTATTAAATTTGTGTGGAAACATAGAAACCGATTTATTTTAATTCTCCTTTGACAGATGATTTAGATTACAACTTTGTAAAAGCCAAAGGTCATGACAATAATGATGGCATAAACAAAAGGCTGTTTTAGTGCATTTTGATGTCTTATCTTTGTGTTGCTCTGTCAGGGTCACAGGGTCCTGTGATGATTAATGAGAAATGTTACTGTTTTGTAGTAAGAATTTTTTCTCTAACCATTAATTCCAGAACTTAACACATTTGAAAAGAGGGTAAGATATAGACATGAAAAATTAATGTTGACACAGAATTTTAAAAGAACATGAATACTGCTGTTTACTTAGTAAATGCATAGTTAGAGCTTCCAAGGACAAGTAAGGGATGGAGACTTCATGTGAAGTAGTAGAACTGAATATGGATAAAATTAGACATATGTAAGAGCTATGTAGACATAAATTCCTTTTACTCATATTCCTAAATCAAATCCTGTTATTTTTCAAAACACATTTGGCAATAAATAAATAGCCATGTTTAGTTAATAAGTGGGGTCTGTTCAGAAGCCTGTAGAACCTCCTCAATTGGCTCCACAGAAACCAACTAAGAAGATACTAAGGAATATATACATATGTGCACATATATGTATACAAGTATATATGTATTCACAAATTCGTGTGTGTGTATGTGTGTATGTGTGTGCTGTGCATGTAGCACAAAAATTTGAAAATATAATTGTGACAATAAAACGGATGAACAGAATATATCTAGTAGCAGTTGGTTGCACCAGCCAGATCAGAACCTATTAATATTTTCTCAAATACATTTTCTAAATTTTAAATTTTCTAAATTTGACTAAAAGTCAAATTATTTAAAGTAATTATAATACATTATTTTCACTAATGCCCCAATAAAATACAACATATTCCTGGCTATTGCTTAGGATGCAGTACACACATGTGAATTTTACAAATTGATCAGAGTAGTTTAAATTCCACCCGAAGACCTTAATAAACTGTTTTAGATATTCATGAGAAAGTGTTTTATTACAAAAGAATGGTACAATTTCCTAAGATTGTCCTCTCATAAAAACAAAATATGTAAATATATCTCTTATTTTAAGTAGATTTCTTTTAAGGTAAGGAGGATGACAAAAACAATGCAGCTATTTGTTTGGATGATATAATAATCAAAACCTGTGTCTACTCTAGTGGAATACCATTCTAGCCTGCATGAAAGATCTCTCTGGGTTTTGTAGAATGTGAAATCCATCATCTTCTGCTGACATATCTAGATGTTTAGATTGGTTTTTATATTCTTTAGATTAGAAATATGAAATACACATATTGGGAGCTAATTTAACATAGTATATTTCTCTGTCTCTGTATTTCCCCTCCCCTCTCTCTCTCATGTTGTTTATATTCCTGAGATAAGATAAAACTAGTTTGAAATCAGGAAAACCATGAACTTTGTAATTTTTAAGTTTCTAATAATTTTAAGTATTGAGACATGAATTTATTAAAGTCAAGAAATGTTTAAGATTCCTGACTCCTTCTTCCCATTATACTTTAATAATGTACAACAGAAACTTTTAAAGACACAGAGACAGTTGAGAACTGAAAAGACTGCAATGAACTAGACTCAAAATACCAGAGAGACAACCACCACCAATAACTTTTATGTCACTAGTATATAGCCACACCCCACATCCAGACACTTAAGTTAAAGGATTCTTATACTGCACAAATTGATTACAGTCATGCCTAACCAATTCATAAAGTAACTGATGATATGGCACATTGTGTGTGAAGGCACATTCCACCAACCCTGAAGATTTGAGTTTGAATCTTAGAACCCATGTGGGACAAGGAGAGAGTAAATGTTGTCATCTGTTCTCTGCATATGTACCATGGAATGTGCAGGTATACATGAACACACATCCACAGGTAATTGTAAAGAGAATATTGATAGTACTATGTTAGTACTATGTGTATGAACATAAAACTTACCAGATACAGCCAGGAAGTCATCAATGCTGGTGATGTCATCCACTGCTTCAGTGAGAACATGAATATAATGTTCCCATGTGCGCTTATACATTTCCATGGTGTTTTTGACCACTTGACTCTTGGGTCTTGATGCCAAAGCAAGTGCAGCATTTATGATCTGTAAAGATATTGATAATGCTTACATAGTCACTTACTTTTCAAAACAAGAAAAAATGTACAGGAAACCAGGTGGTGTTTTTTTTCTTCTTTGTATGATTAAACTTGAACATCCTTAACAACCAGGCAAATGAAACGTCACTCTGTGTAATCTCCTTTGTTTTGGCAATATCAGTTTTGGTAATAATTTATTTTAAGACATTTATTGTATGTCATTGTCAAAGAATGGTAGGATATAGAAATATAATGGGTGTCTGAATTTAAGGAGCTTAGATATCTCTCAGTGTGAAAGATTGCATATAATTATCACATAATATAGTATGTTAATGCCATTAAAAAACAGAGGTGATGATGATTTAATAAACAGAGAGACTAACTTTAATATAAATGCCAAGGAAAGCTCTGGGGGAAATGTGACACTTATTTCTTTATTTTTAAGATTTATTTTTATTTATGTGTATGTTTGTACATGTCACTGTGTGCTAGCACCCACAGAGGCCAGAGAGGGTAGAGGGACAGGCAGCTGTGAGTGACTTCTTTTGGACTCAGCAATTTTTCGAACCCTGTAGTTTGACATTTTTTTTAAAGCAGAATTTTTTATTATTAATTTAGTTTTTACATTCCAATCCCAGTTCCCCCTCTCCCCTCTCCTCTCACCCCTTGCACTCCCTGCTCCCTCCTATCTGCTCCATGGAGAGGGTAAGGCCTCCCCTAGGAAGTCTACTAAGTCTGTCCCATCATATATTTGAGGCAGGACCAAGGCACCTATCCACCCTACACCCCTGTATCTAGGCTAGGCAAGGTATGTCTCCATATAAAATTAGATTCAATAAGTTAGTTTGTGAATAAGTGTTAGATCTGGAACCCACTGCTATGATGTTTTAAAATAAATTTTATTTAAATTAAAAACATTCTTATTATGTGAGACATTTTTAACTGGGCACTTAGATTCACTTAAACTATCACCTGCATGCAAAATCATTAAAATCAGAAATTTGCCTTATTTGAAAGCAAATGTTTCACTGTACACATTCATTTACAATCCCATTCATTTCCTATCTCATGTAAATATGTTTACAAATCAAGTAAAGACATGTAGTTTAGACTAGAACATACAAGACGATATAAGCGAATGTTATAACTTCTGTGGAGATGATAACACATCCAGGGAAAGTTGACAAATGGCAAGTCAAATAAGTAAATTGGAAAGTCTGTAAAGTGGTACTGAAAACTAGGGAGGAAAGAAAGGCAAGGAGTGGGTGGGGGCTATGAGGGGTGTGTTAAAATTTGAGGAGGTCCTTGCACTACAGAGGACATTTAAAATAGTACAATCTTTAGTGGGGATATGAAAGGCTAAAAGACAGAGAAGATTCAAGACAACAAAAAAGGTAAAGGAAATTCTGTGAATGTAGTAAAACAGTTTACTCAGAACCTGGATAGGTAAAGGGTGGGGCAGAGTCTAAATCAGAAAGGCATGTAGAGTTTGAGCAGTCTGTGTAGTGTTGTGCTATAGGCAACTTAAGATCTCAACAAACAGGTGGCTATAGGAGTGAGAAAGAGCCTGAACTATGATGGTGGAGGTAATGAAAATGGCTTCTTCAGACTTTAATGTATCTAAAGGAATATAAATGGCGTCAAAGATTCCTGTAAGAAATACCAAGCCATTAGCCTGACCATGAAAAGCAGTATGTAAATAGACATCGAAACCAGAAGGCTGGATGGCAGGTGTGGCTACCAAATACCTAAAGGATTAAGGGAAGTAAGTCTGTTTGCCCCTTATGTGTGATAGATAATAGAAGTCTTCTGCCATTATCCCCACATTTGGTTGGGTACTTAAGAATGTTGAAGAATGAACTAGGGATATTCAGTATGGACTGGATTTAACCCTCCTGACTATATCCTGTGTCTCCATCTTTTCTCTTGATGTCTTTAGCTAACCTTTCAAATTCACACTTCCCCTCTCAAGTATGGATGATGGGCTAGTCGGCTGGCTCTTACTGCAGCCTCCCACTATATTTAAGCAATTCTCGGGTGATTCTGATGTAAATAGTCAGAAATCCGCAAAATAAGATTTTGCTCTGGCTTCATGTGTCTTAGTGTTGAGGCAGCATGGAAACAGAACTACACAAACCTTTCTCCTCAGCAGCAATTTGAGAATCTCCCTCCCTGGTTCCAGGAAACCTATTTTTCATACTTACAGATAACATGTTGCCTTTCTTTTTTGTCATCTTTACCCATTGGCCTTCCAGAGGCATCACTATCACTTTTTTTTCTGCTTTTAGAACACACAGAAAACCTTTCCCTTCAAGAGCCAGCACTCAGCAATTCTCAGACTCCATTTAGATCTCTCCACAGCTACAATACTGGAACCTTAGTCATATCACTTTACACGTGAGGAGACTGGGGGAAAAGAAGGTTTCACACCAGTTCTTTAGCTGAGAAATGGTAGTCAAGATACAAACTCCACATGCCCCATGACAGACCATGCCCAGCTAGATGTCCCTACCAGCAACTTGTCAATCAATTAAATTCTACTGCTACCTCTCACTCATGCCATTTTTCCATCTAGATTGTTCATTTCAGCTCAGGAGTCACATCTTGTCACTAGTTGTTATCAAGTATTATTTCAACTTTTTGTTTTATTAAATTCAACAGAAGTCTGTGTTGGTGTTGTATCAGTTGGGTATTTTGCTTTTGTATGAGACTCTATCACTTTGCCCATGAGATCCTTAGAGGAGGCGATGTTAGGCTTCTCACTCTTCAACACTGATCACTCTTGAAACTTGTTATGGCAAATAACTTTCTGCATCTGGCCTATAGTGCTAGAAAGATGACAGGATGAGTCTTCCAATAGCATACAACACTTCAAAATAAGGATCACCACCAAATACCATTGATAAGTGGGATAATGTGGGAGCAATCCCAAAGGTCCCTCTTTATAGAAAGGGTACTCTGCTTCAAGAAGAAAGGTGTCCCCAAAGCATGAAATATGAAAAATAGGTACCAATTAAGAGGATAAGTGGCTACTTTTATGTTTTCCAAAATGGTAACAGCAAGATACATTCTAAACCCATCAATTGGAGAATATTCAGCAGATACAACACAGAAGCAGAATAGGAAGTAAAAACAAAAAAAAATTGGAAAGTATAACTATGGGGGGTAAGAACAAGGGGAAGTAGAGACAGTAACATGGTGGAAGAAATCTCCCTCAGGAAAGAGGTAGAAGACCAAAGTGTTTAAGAGCTCTATGATAAAAATACTCTCAAAAGTTCAGTGGTAAAAGAGAAGTGGACATAATGAGGAAAAACAAGGGTAAAGGGGAAGCCATCAAACAGTTTTGTTGGTAGAGAATTTTCTAGCTGTGATGCATAGTTTTAATGATCAACCTGACACACCTACAGTCATCCAGGAAGAGAGGCTCAATGAGGGAGTGTTTACATTGGAATAGTCTATGGACTTTCTGTAGGAGAGTACCATAATTAAGTTATTGATATAGGAGGACCACACCAATCCTTGGGCAAGGATGATTGAATGTATGAGAATAAAGAAAGCTAGCTGAGCATGAAACCCATCTGTATGCATCTATTTTTTTCTCTGTTCTTGGCTGTGGATATGATGTGACAATTTTCTTAGAGGCAATGTGACTATTCTGCTATGATAAACTGTAACCTGGAATTGAAAGCAGAATAAACCCCATTAGCTAGTAAGATGCTTTTTGTCACAGCATTTATCACAGCATCAGGAATGCCACAGGAACATGTTGCATACACAAAGACTGGATTTTATTGCCAGCATATATACACCGGGTATGGTGACACACTAGATGGAGTTAAAGGGATCAAAATCCCATGGCTGCCCTCTGCTACACAATGAGTTGGAGGACTGCTTGTCTAAACAAACAAACAAAACATCTGGTAGATATTTGGGTTCACTGACTATAATGACTGCACTTGAAAAAACACCCTTTCCATTCAGTACGCTAATGCCTGCACCTTGCTAAAATAGGTTTCCATCAATAGCACATTACAGGTAGAAAGCTGAATTCACTTATTTAAAAACATGTTGAGATTCTTTTATTTCTTTGCTCCTGAAAGAGGAGCACATTAAATTTTGAGAAAATGTGCTGTAACTTTGGATATGGCTCTGGTGAGGTGCCCCCTTGACTTCAGTTTTAGAGTTTTATTAACCTATTAACTTGCAATGTACCTTTGTGTACCACTGAAAAAGCTCCAGTCTCTGGTGTTTCGTAGTTCTCGCAATTGGACAGCTGTGTATGTGCATGGCTGTGCTTAAATTATGGCTTCCCAGCCAGGCATACACTTAAAGCACTTGTGCAGAAGTTGCAGGGGCTTGTGGGGCCACAAATATATAACAGGTGATATTCTGCGAGAACATCTTCGGTTCAGCTACTGACCCAATTTATCTGATTCAACACTGTACTCTATGGGAAAGCTTTATCTTGCTTGACTTTGCTGATACTCAGCTTCAATCTAAAAGCAGACACATTTGGAAGATGTACTAACTCTCTTGGAGACAGGAAAAATATTTCTCCTGACTCACATTTCTGGCATTCTAGTTATACACACTGGACAGAAAAGACAACCATCTTCCAGGCTTCTTCAGATCTGGCTAAAAGTTTTCAAATGAATGTTCTTGCTTTCTGAAATGCTTTCTTTATGTCATAGTTGAGCTGTGTGTATAATAGAATCATCATGGACCAGGCAATTACCTGGTCAGTCAGTTAGCATTTAAAGGAGTCTTAAAACTCAGGCACTTATATTTTCACCAGACTGTTTTTTATACCCTGATAAAAGTTCCCTACTTCCAGCTGCTATTTTCTCCAAACCACTTTTTTTTTTCTGTAAATGTATTTCTTTCTTAAATTCAGAGAGGATCATGCCTCTTGCTTGATGGTACCCTATGGTAGGATCATGGCTGACTAAGCATGCAATCTCAATTCCATTTCACTCTATGCCTCCATGGGCTAATATTACCTGTGGG